TCATCATGAGAATTAGTTCCAGATTCGGACTTATTGACACTACCAAAATCGTTCGGTACAGAAATGGTGACACGCGAAACAGTAGATACTTGGGCGATCTCAGCACAGTAGATGCTAGTACCTGTACTGGCCTCCCTCCAACGCTCAATACAGTGGCCGTGACCATCGGGGCGAGTCTAGAGTTAGTAGGACGCGAGGAGGGCCTCTGATCATTGTTGTCATAAGAAGATGTGTATGGGTTCATTACTAACAGCAAAATACCTCAATCTCTGGCTCTAAGACCCGTGACGAGAAAAGGTCCTTAAAAACCTAACTGGGCGAGCGCGTATTTACTTGATACCGCGCACGCCATAAATCTCTTAAGAAATGTCCACGCGAGTCAATTGAGAAGTTCCTTATCACTCAAGCAATACGTGATTAGATCATCACGTTTATCTGCTCTTAAGGAGGAGATGGAGATCTTTATGCGAGTCTGTCAATACGAGTTGTCGTCGAAGTGAAAGGCATATTCTGATATGATACCACACTTCCTCCAACACTGGAGAAATAGATTTGATCAGAATGGAAAGGGGACAAGGGACAACCGTTTCGGGCGACGAACAACGACACAATGCAGAACTATTGAGGTCGTTTGAACGAGAGAAGTCGACCGAAGGCCTCCTCCATCTTTCTAAGAGCAGAGAAGCGATGATGATCTAACCATGTATTGCTTGTATGGTAAGGAACGTTGCAATCGGCAGAACTATTGGCCGGACCAATTTGGCCCTATAACTTGGGAGGGCTTCCTTGAGGAAGGAGCGTAAGATTCATAAGGAAGGAGGGCTTCCTTCATGTGAGGAGGCGCTCCTAAGGAGGCAGAGTAGCGTAAGGCTATCTCGAAATAAGGAGGTTAGGGATCTTACGAAAATTCTAACAAATTTTCTGTTCTGTCTTTGCAGACTGTGTTCCGCAGCGCGAAGATTTTGTGCCAAGATTTCGACTCAAAATTGTCTCCCTCAATTGAAGTCCTTATAGGCGAAATTAATTCACTTTGTCATGCAATCACGAAATTGGAATCCTCATTAGAACCGCGTCGTTAAACTAACTTGCGTATCCGTTAATATGATGCCCTTAGGTAACCTCAAAATCGCGAAACCAGCATATGTGATGGTTTTTTAGGAAGCACATTCACATTTCGCTTACCTGTTCAGCGAAATTCTCAGCCGTGAATACATTTCGAAATTTACCACTCCATCGTATCGAAATCGTGGGAAAATCTCGCGGGAAAAATTTACCCTAAATTTACACGAGCGTAGGAAACGCCGATACTGGTAGCGAGGGTGGTTGTTTTTGGAGGAGTCCTGCCCTGGTTCTTCCGTCTATTCTTCGCAAAATATCTTAGTATTTTGCCTCACAATTCGGGTATATCACAGTGTATCCTTCAAGTTATTGACTGTTTGTGAGAATGACGGTTCTCTCCAGTAAGTCATCTACATCGTCTCATCCACGACACAGTGAGAGATATTATCAATGGTCGGCTGTTACATGGACCTTCTTGACCTACGTCTGTCTGCATGCTGTGCGAAAGGCTTTCTCTAATGCTACACCCAACATGAAGGAATACTATGGTTACTCTACTACCTTCTTTGGCATTATGAATACTCTTTTCCTGGTATTTTATGCTATTGGTATGTTCTTCACTGGACCGCTAGGGGACATTTACCGTCCTGTTAGAGTCTACTTCCTAATGGCTGCGCTCTGTTGTGTCACTCAAGTCATTTTCGGTGGAATGGTTGATTGGGCAACGCAAAGTGGATGGTATTATTTTTATTACGTAGTGTGGGTTGTCAACGCCGTTTTCCAGTCCGGATGTTGGCCGGCCTCAGTTGTCATAGTCGGTCAGTACTTCCTGCCCAAGTATTACGGCACAGTCTTTGGTATATGGTCTAATAACTCCAACGTCGGCAACATCCTAGGAGCTGCTATGTGCACACTAATGATTGAGATATTTGGTAATCAGGCATCAGTACCATGGCAGTTTCTAAGCCCAGCTGTGCTCCTCCTGGTGGTATCCGCCTTGATGCTCTACTTACTTCCCCGGGATCCGCAATCAGTCGGGTTAATTATACAGCCCGAAAGCATGCTTAGGGAGCCCCTGAACTGCGGTCAAAGTGATTCCGGCGAGAATAACGGAGTCGATGAGAACGATGGGTTGAACTTCCTTGCTGCTTGGAAAGCTCCCGGCGTATTGATGTACTCGTTTTGTTTTGGTTGCATCTCGGGTGTCAACTACGCTATGTTCTTCTGGTTACCCCTTTATCTCACAGAACACGTTGGTAGGACCTCTGCAGAAGCCAATGGGTATGATATGCTTTTTAATTTGGGTGTTATTTTTGGCACTCTCGTATTAGGAGTTATTTCTGATTATTGTACATCTAAGTGCGGAGATTCCTGTCGAGCCCCGCCCATGTTCGGGTTCCTGGTCCTGGCCATCGTACCTATCGCCATGCTACGTGCCGACCGTCCTTCAACCCTCTATCTCACCCTTACTGTGTTCGCCTGTGGCTTCCTGGTAGGATCAGTCGCGAATGTCCTGTCGAGTGTCGTATGTGCTGATCTTGGCCGTAAGTTGCCCAAGAAAGCAGTAGCACAAGTATCTGGTATTATCGATGGGGTAGGAGCTATCGGAGGCGCTCTAATGCAGCTAGTGGTCACAGTTATCGCCCAGTATTCCAGCTGGGGTTATGTCTTCATTGTATTGCCAATCGCTTTGGCCCTCAGTGCTATCATTCTCGCTAAGTTGGCGTATGAGGAAACCATCCATTTTGTTAGACAACTATCACGTTCACCTAGGCTTTCCATGGCATCTGCGGGTGTTCTATAAATGATATTAGCCAATTTTGTTTATTCTGAATAAGTTTCGACCTACGATGCGAGTTTGCGTTGCAATATAGAAATTTAGGACTTTTATCGCACAATTCGATGTCCTAAGGTGGGGCAGCTATGCCACTCCAGTGTATGGATCACTGCACTCAATTCTGCAAGCGCACGAGCTAGGTTGGTCGGCTATGGTAATGTGACGAGAGTGATAGCTCTAGCGATGATCGAAAAAGTTCCCGCGGTGGCATATCGGCCCCGGATATATTATCAGCGCGAGTGGTTGCTGCATTCAGCTAGTAATGGAGTTATTTTGGTGTGTGTTGAGTGGGTTTACTTTCTTCGTCTACGCGAGATATGTTTCAGGATGGCATATGTGCCCCGCCCTAGACATATTTGGAGGCGGCATGGCCGTTTATCGGAGAAATGGATTCTACAATGGTTTCTTCCGTGGTGGCATAGTTGCCCCATCGAATAAACAGAACTCTTGACAGATCATTTTGGGGCGGCATAACTGCCCCATGGAAGAATTTGATCCTACCGTGTTTCTTCCGGGGCGGCATAGCCGCCCTATTGGAGAAACTAGTATTATGAGACATATTTCTACAGTGGTGTAGACGCCCCACCGGAGGAATTGATCCCATAGAAGATCATTCGTGTGTAGCATAGCCGCCCCTGCGGAAAATTTTTTCCTATGAGAAATAATTCTACGGTGGCATAAATGACCCATAGGAGGAATTGGTCTTATATCGTTTATTTCGGTGGCATAGTCGCCCCATCGGAGAGATTGATTTTATGAGAGATAATTCCGCAGTGGCATAACCGCCCCATCGAAGAAATGGGTCTTATGAGAGATAATTCCACAGTGGCATAGCTGCCCCATCGGATAAAATATTCTTATGAGAGATAATTCCACAGTGGCATAGCTGCCCCATCGGAGGAATAAGACTATAGAGGATATAATGGACCTACATACTGGCTCCATCGCAAGAAGTCTCTGTGGCGAGTCGGCCTGCCTGTGACAGGTGTCCTCCTCAAAGGGCAGAGTCGAGACATGCGTTACATGCATGGTGTCGTCTACAGTTTGGAAATGCTGCATTGCAACAGTGAGTTCTGCAGCAGAGCTCACTGTTTTGAGGGGGGGGGTCAGGGGAGAGTATTCTATGTCCGTATAGGGTAGCAGCACTGGGTACTAGGGACTGAGCGGTGGTAATTAGGTTTCAGTCGAGGCGTCGTAGAGTAGGAGGAAAAGTTGTTAGTTGGCTGCATTCGATCACAGGCGAGCACCTCTGGAGTGGATACAGGCGTCGGTTGAACTGTTTGCTCTTGGTGTGTAGAAGAGAATTGGTGTATGCTTCAGCGCATTGAAAGTTTATCGGATAAACTTTATCCAAGGCGATTTCAGGGTTAGTTTGAGATATGGCCCACCAAGATTCGAAGGCGACGCGGAATACTGCAGTACCACGCCGTAGTAAAAGATACTACCAGGTGTCGGCTTTCCTCTGGACCTTCTTGACCTACGTCTGTCTGCATGCTGTGCGAAAGGCTTTCTCTAATGCTACACCCAACATGAAGGAATACTATGGTTACTCTACTACCTTCTTTGGCATTATGAATACTCTTTTTATGCTTTTTTATGCCATTGGTATGTTCTTCACCGGACCGCTGGGAGACATCTATCATCCAGTTAGAGTGTTCTTCCTAATGACGGTGCTCTGTTGTGTCACTCAAGTCGTCTTCGGCTGTATGGTTACTTGTGTCACACGAGGCGGATGGTATTACTTTTATTATCCTCTATGGGTTCTCAACGCTGTATTCCAGTCCGGCTGTTGGCCCGCTGGTATCCTCATCGTCGGTCAGTACTTCCTCCCCAAGTATTACGGCACAGTCTTTGGTATATGGTCTAATGACTCCAACGTCGGCAACATCCTAGGAGCTGCTATGTGCACACTAATGATTGAGATATTTGGTAATCAGGCATCAGTACCATGGCAGTTCTTCGGCCCGACAGTGGTCCTTCTGATAGTGTCTGCTCTAATGCTTTACTTCCTCCCTCGGGACCCGCAATCGGTCGGGACCGTCATACATCCTGTGAATACTCTAGAGGAGCCTCTGACTGCTGAAAGTGGCGAGTCCGATACAGCAGCCAGTGAAATTCTGGAGACTGAGAGATTGGATTTCTTCGCAGCGTGGCGTGCCCCAGGAGTGCTCAGATACTCCTTTTCGTATGCTTGTATCAAGGGTGTCAACTACGCCATGTTCTTCTGGTTACCCCTTTATCTCACAGAACACGTTGGTAGGACCTCTGCAGAAGCCAATGGGTATGATATGCTTTTTAATTTGGGTGTTATTTTTGGTACTCTCGTATTAGGAGTTATTTCTGACTACTGTACAGCTAAGTGCGGAGATTCTTGTCGAGCCCCGCCCATGTTCGGGTTCCTAGTCCTGGCCATCGTACCTATCGCCATGCTACGTGTCGACTATCCATCTGTCTTGTACCTGTCTGTTACGGTATTCGCATGCGGTTTCCTCGTTGGGTCCGTATCCAATGTCCTCTCTAGCGCAGTATGTGCTGATCTTGGCCATAAGATGCCCAAAAAAGCAGTAGGACAGGTATCTGGCATTATCGACGGAATGGGAGCTATAGGAGCTGCTCTGATGCAGCTGCTGGTCACGGCTATCGCACAGGTCTTCAGCTGGGGTGCTGTTTTCGTTCTACTACCGGTGGCGCTAGGAATAAGCGCTGTAATGCTCGCTGGGATGGCCTATACAGAGATCAAAGAGTTCGTGCAGAAGGTTTGATTCGATTAGACGGTGCCAGCGTAGCTTGAGCTCCTGTTGGATAGTCATAACCGAGCAGTAGTAATCCCATTCGTATATTTTACAGCGCCCGTAGTGTATTTTTCTGCACTCTCCCGCTGCACTTTGTGTTATCACTTGAGGAGCACAATCACCATCGGTAACTAGATTGATTACTATGATATCGTCAGTAAGACGATGTATGGCTTAACGGATGTATTGCCAGCGTTTCATCCTCACATTAAAAGTTATCTTCTATGTCAGTTTGACTGTCTCAATGTCTACCGCTGCTCCACATAAACCTGCGGAGTTCACTTATGTAATAAGAGCTACCGGCTATGGCATAGTACGAAGAAATTCTTTCGGCGCATTCGGTTCCTACTAAAGGTTTGTAACATCTCTAGCTAGCGCTCGGGTCGCTCTAATGCATAGGGAGGTATTTGGGTCGCTGATGATTATCCTACATTCTGTGCATTCTGCGAATATCTTCAGGGCTTTCAGTTTGAGCTCATAACAGAAGTGTGGACCATGCGTAGGTGCTCATACCCGCAGACAGCAACGAGCCCATCCAAGAATTGAAGAGCCCTCAAGTTGACCTGGAAAATGATACGTTTGTGAAGCAGTTGAAGGTCTACTTCGCATCCAAAAGCGATGAGAGCAGTCTCGACAAGTAAGGACGGGATCTGTGTTTTGATACATCCACCTTGGGATCAGTTGAGGGTCGCTCGCGCAGAGATGGGAGTGCTAATTATTAGGCCTTCATGACGAAGGGGCGGAACTCACTGAGTCCACGTCCATGCACTCAATCAAGGAATTTTACATAGGTCCCCGGTTCGATCCCCGGGTAGGACGTTTCTCCGTCATTAAAGTTTCTCGTGCATATCTCTTCGAGCTGTTCGGATAATCGAGTTTTCCGAATTTTCCCGAAACCTCCGCATGTAGAGGAGTCGTTTGATCTATCTGATAGCCTCCCATGCTTCGTAGTTAAGCCGGAATAATTTTGCACGCACGCACAACGCGAAAGTGCCTGTTGTTACGGTATATGCTCTACTCGCTTCGCTCGCTCCGCAGCGTCCACTACTGGAGGAAAAAAACAGTTGTTTGCGGACCATCGGGCGAGCACTGGCGAGCATGGATGTAGCGAGGAAGGCCTCGGCGGTGACGACTGTCCTGATGGAACCGAGTTGAGCGACGACCAGTCTCTGGCACAAAAAAAAATATGTCGAATGGCTTTTGAAGGCCTTCAAGGATACTACTGGCGGTCAGGGTGCCGAGAAGTCCAACAGACGGTCTGTTACAGACCTAGTCTCAAAGCGTTGTTTGACGAGAAAAAATGAATCATTGATGGGGTAGTGCTGCACGAGATGCGGTTGTATGAGGCGACTATATCCCCTTTTGATGACAACAAGGCTCTAAACACGACATTCATTCGAGAAGTGCTGAACGCGCTGTTCCGTAACGATTGTTCTCGATCTTTTTCGGCCGGTGAGGCTTCGGCGAAACCTCGCTTAATGATCGACAATGTTCACAAGTTCTTCGACGTTAATTCGGAGACTACCTTCGTTATGCATCATATGGTTGGAGAAAACTCCTTGCTGAAACAACAGGATGGGTCACCACTCGGTACAGAAGGCCCTCGGTGATATATGTTGAGCGTCGTCGCTGGCGCACTTGGCCAAGGTGGTAATATCAAAGCATACGATAGGGCTGCGGCGGGAGAGGAGGGGGTTGAGAGGTTTCGGCTTCGATGAGGACGATGATGATTTGGATGGTGATGGGTTGTGCGTTGGATTCTGAGCATTCCGATGTAAGACTCGGTTTGGCATCCGTGATTGGTAGATCGTATGTATTTTAAGCAAGAGCTATCAAGAGTCTAACGTCCTGCAAATGGAATTCGCTTGCGTCGTGTGGATGGTCTTTAAGGCTCATCCCGTCATGTGCGCTGCCATAGCGAGCCTTCCTCACGTATGTAGCATACATTAGCGAGGTATGTATACGTGGTTTCCTCGCTCAATCCATGTATATAGATAGTGACTACCTTGCCGTCATCGTGTCAAACAGCGACTCGGTGATTGACTGCGATACAGAGCGCATCAGAGTTACCTTTTGGAGCTTGGGAACCATCGTCAGTGCCATCATGGCACTGCCATGGCGATCGCGCCTACATTTCTTCTGTGAAACGGTGATGGTTTCGAACTGTGATGATCGCTATCATGAACTACACTTTGACTCTGAATTCTTCTCTGACCTGCTGACTCATCTTTTCATTGTTGTGCTTTGATCAATCGATTGTTAGATGGGAGTCCCATCTCGAGATTTGCCCTGGTTGAGCAGGGCAAGGGAAGTAAGATTTGACCCATATTATGGTTCCATAGTTTCCATAGAGAGCTCCTGCAATTTGAGATTCCCGATTTAACAGTCTGGAGTTGTGCACTTCGTGTCGTGTCATTACTTCATCCGTTCAGACAGCAGTTCTTGGCGCAGTTATCAGCCCATGCAAAGCAGGACGTGAGCAAGTCCGTTAATCCAGAAATGCTCGAGAAGGTATTCACCGTCAACCTGACTCTGGAGATATACATCCTGTGTCGTATCAGCTCATGTCGATGACAACTGTGGACATCCTCACCTTAGCTCTCCCAGTACCTAAGACTAGCTATACTGGCGTGAGTATGTACGTCGATGATAAAGGAGTTGCCAAGAACCTTCCTGTGAATGTGTAAAGCTAGTAGCACCTTGAGGCTCTACTTGAATGTGTTCAGACGGGCTCAAGGGCTGACTTCAGCTTGTGGCCTTATCGGTAATCAAATTAGAGGAGATGCGTTCGTCGGGAGGATGTACGATGATGGGAAGGACAAGTGGTTCAGTAGGAGGCAGGTGAGCCGCGTTCCATTCAGCCGATGTTTGTTCAGATGGACTTTCGCGAGTCGGACCTCAACTCTGGTTTAGAGTGGATTGCTGCAGCGAAGTCCATTAACATGAGACAGGTGGCGGCACTACTCTTAGTGCACTCACAAGTCAATA